GGGGTAGTGTGGTGTGATGTGGGTTAAGTGGGGTGAGTGGGGTGAGTGATGCTGGGTGATGAGGTTGGATGTTGGTGATGGGTGAGTAGTGTGGTGAGTGGGGTGTGAGTGAGTGTGGGGTGAGTTGTGGGTGAGTGAGTGATGGGGTGATGTGTGGTGAGGTTAGGGGTTTGAGGAGTGGGGGTGAGTGTGTGGTAGTTGATGTGCGGGAGTGTGGAGTTTGGGTGAGGGGTATGAGTGTGGGTGAGTGTGTGGTATGAGTGGGGCTGGAGTGTGGGTGAGTGTGGTGAGTTGTGGCAGTGGTGTGCGTGAGTGGGGGTGGTTGGTGAGTGAGTGTGGGGTGAGGTTGTGAGTGAGTGTGGTGAGTGTGTGGTGAGTGAGTGTGGGGTGAGTGTGTGGTAGTGAGGCGGTGAGTGGTGTATGTGGGGTGAGCGCGGTGCAGTGGCGGTGAGTGTGGTGAGTGTGAGGAGTGTGTGAGTGAGGTTGGGTAGTGTGGGTGAGGAGTGTGGGTGAGTAGTGTCGCGGTGATGTGTTGGTGAGTGATGTGGGGTGATGAGTGTGGGTGAGGAGTGTTGGTGAGGTGGGGTAGTGATTGGGTGATGAGTGTCAGGTGACGTGTGGGTGAGTGAGTGGGGTAAGTGTGGGGGAGGTGGTGAGTGTGGGGGTGAGTGGAGTGTGGGTGAGGTTGCAGTGATGTGGGGAGTGAGTGTAGGGTGATGTGTAGTGAGGGGGGAGGTGGTGATGGTGAGTGGGGTGAGGAGTGTGGTGAGTGTCGTGAGTGTGGGGTGGTGGGGTAGTGTGGATGAGTGTGGTGTGAGTGAGTTGGTGAGTGGGGGGAGTGGTGGGGTAACGTGTGGGGGGAGTGTGGGGTGATGTGGTGAGAGTGGGAGTTTGGTGAGTGTGGGTGAGTGGTGTGGGTAGGTGGTGAGTGAGTGTGGGGTGAGTGTGCATAGTGGGGGAGTGTGGTGAGTGATGTGGGTGAGTGATGCGGTGATGGTGAGTGGTGAGTGTGGGTGATGAGTGTGGTGAGTGAGTGGGTAGTGGTGGGTGAGTGAGTATAGGGTAAGTGGGGTGAGTGGGGTGAGTGTGGGGAGTGAGTGAACTGGTAGAATATGGTATTGTGGGTGAGAAAGGTGGTGAGGTGGAAGAGGATGTGGGGGAGTGAGTGTGGGTATGATGGGGGAGTGGTAAGAATGGAAAGGTAAACGGTGCAAAACGGAGCTGTGGTGAGTTGGAGAAATGATGGGAAAAGAAGTGAATGGGGGGGAGTGGAAAGAAGTGTGTGGGTGAGTAGTTGGGTGAGTGAGTGGGGGTGAGTTGTGTAGTGAGTGTGGGTAGTGAAAGGATGATGTGGCGGTGATGTGAAAGTGTGGGGTGAATGTGATGGGGTGAGTGAGGTGGGTGAGGTGGGGGATGGGGATGATGTGTGAGTGTGGGTGAGTGATTGGTGAGTGTGGGGTGAGTGATGTCGGGTGAAGGTGAGATGTGGTGAGTGGTGGGTGAGTAAGAAATGAAGAATTGGGTATGAGTAGGTGGGGTGATAAAGTTGAGCTGATGGGTGAGTGAGTGGGGTGAGGGGTGAGTGTGGGGGTGAAGTGATAGAGTGATGTAAACAATGTGGTGAGTGGTAGATGAGAGGGTAGTGGTGAGTGTGTGGGGTGAGAGGTAAATAGAATGGTAGTTGGGGTAGTAGTGTGGGGTGGAGTGGTGGTGAAATGGGAAGTGTAGAGTTGGGGTATGATGAAATTGTTGAAATGAAAATGGGTGAGTGAGTGTGGGGTTGAGTGGGGTGAGTGGTGAGGGGGAGTGTGACTGATATGGGGGTTGAGGAGTTGGGAGTGTGGGTGAGTGGTTGGGGAGTGAGTGTGGGGTGAGTGTGGGGGAGTGATGTGGGGTGAGTGAGTGGGGGAGTGTGGGGTGATGTAGTGTGGGGCAGTGTCTGTGTTATACCTCGGGGTCATGCAGAAGGACCCGCGACCGCCAGCGGACCGCAGGAAGGCGTGCGGGACCTGGGCAGGAAGGGGCTGGTGTCCGTGGATGGACAGAGCCCTCGCGTGCGTGGTCTGGGGATGCCCTGGGCAGGGAGTGGATCCATGGTGCCCCAGTGCTGGGCGCGGGTTCGGTGGCGCGGCCTGCGTCGTGTCTGGGATGGCCCCTGGGGCAGGGAGGATGCCTGGTGCCCAGTGCTGGCCCGCTGGTTTCGGGCGCGCCCTCGTGGTCCTGGGGATGGCCCTGGCAGGGGGAGTGGCCTGGGCCCGGTGCGGCCCTGGGTGGGGCGCGGCCGCGGCGTGGTCTGGGGAGCCCTGGGGCAGCGGTGAGTGGCCCTGGTGCCCGGTGCT